TTGAGGTAGATTCGAAAACCAAGTACCTCGGAGTCCATATGTCTGGAAACCTGTCCTGGAACCAACACGTTGACAAGATTGTGAAGAAGGGCAACAGCACACTCGGCTTCCTTCGACGCAACCTGCGCATCAGCAACGAACAGCCTACATGTCACTCGTGCGAACAGGCCTTGAATATGCTCCACCGTCTGGAACCCTTATACCAAGGACCTTACACGCAAGCTCGAGGAGAGCTGCAAGATATGTGACGAACCGTTACCACAACACCAGCAGCGTATCCTCCATGATTCAACACTTGGGGTGGGAAACGTTAGAGTCACGACGGACCAAAGCCCAGCTGAATATGATGTTCAAGATCACCAATGACCTTGTGGACATACCAGTCAGCGATTACCTCACCCCTGCCCCGAGCCGCACTAGAAGTGACCACTCCAAGAAGTTCCATCAACCATCCACATCTACATCGTACTAAAAGAACTCCTTCTTCCCTCGTACAGCCACAGCCTGGAACAGCGTACCTGCCCCCGTTGCAGAGGCCCCTGACTTGGTATCCTTCAAGCAGGGGTTATCATCCCTCACATTCTAATCCGCCATTAGGGGCCAAGCTACAAGTACCCGCTAGTGATACCCAAGGCTGTGCCGGCCGCGGCCACCGTAACCGGAGAGGTTTTGGTTGAAGAGGCGAAAATGTAGCTGGCCAGACCTTTTGTCTCTATCTCTTTCTTTTGACCTATCCAACCTCTTCTAACTTCCTATCATAACATGTATATTTCTTTTTCTTGACCTAGCACCACCCTTCGCGTTATAATCAATTGTGATTGCGCCGACGTACGATGTAGATGGAGAAAAATGTAAACACAATATAGATTTAAGTTCAGAACATAATTTGTCTATCTATTGTAGATCTTTTTTAATCATTATTGAAAATTTCAATTCGTTTTTATATTTATTTTGCTAAAGAAGGTCCCACGTGCTCGCATTTTGTTGCCAGCCCTGATTTTCAAGTGAAGACAGAGAATTATGAACACAATTAAATGTCATACACAAATGGACTTGTGAAAAATATATTTAACATATTTTACATGTAGTTTTAAAACCAAATACACAAAATAGCCCATTGTACGTTGCTTTAATCCTTTAACAATTTATCACGTTTAATTTGTAGTTTAGATAACGAATGAAATACCTACATAGCGAAATTAACTTCAGAGAACATTGAGAACTTAATTGTTTTGATCACTCTTTTTTCAAATTATTAGTATTGGTTGTTGTTGTTGTAACGTTTTCAGTATTACCTGAAAATCCTGAATTAAATCCATATGGAGGTGGCTTTTCTTCAGTTAAATCTTCTCCATACCCCGGGTTATCCATTTTAGATCACGTATGAATTCAGTGTTATCATTTATAGTATTTCGTAAATTAAAGTATTTCGTAAATTAAAGGTGATATGAATATGATAGTTGTCACGTGATACATGATAAATACCACATGTGTATGATTGTATATTGATAAATTGATAACTGAAGTATCTAATTTATGTCTGTTAATTGAAAAACGAGCATGATATTTTGTATGAATTATACAATAATGAATATCTGAGAGTTTAAATATTGCCCTTAGATTTCTTGGACACTTAACATTATAAGAGAATAAAACAACAACAACAACAACAACAAATTTTGGTATAAGCAATCAGCACAAGTAAAATTTAAATCCAATTAAAAATATCAGAACACCCTTTTATAATTGATTGTAGCATATGTTCTGGTTATTCCGCCATACTTCAAGGAAATGACTTCGAAGACATAATTAATAAAGGAAACCGGATTGCTTACGGAAAGCCGATGGAATGGCAGTTTTCAGATTTGAATACAATCAATATATGACCCAATTGTCCAACGTTTATTTATTTCTTTTTGAAGTATTTAAAAAAATCTAATATTTGAAGAAGAAAAAACAAACAAAAAATACAAATACGCACGACAAATAATGTATGTAAGTTTCTCGTGCATGATTGTTCTCCAATTACAAAATATGACATAGTGTAACACATTTTCATTGCATAATATTTCACATCGAGAATAGTGAAAATGGCCAAAATTGTTATTTTAAACGAACATTTAAGAGGGATTACAGTAGGGTTTTTTATATGAAGAGACTGGAAACACTTTTTCGAATTTTATATACCATTCGATCAAGATCTGGACCAACTACGTGTGTGCAAAATTCCAGACCATTAGCTTTCTCTGTTTATCCAGAATTATCATTTCTTTTGTGCGAAATGACGGAAAAATGAAATACCTTCTTAAATGCTTAAATAAGAATTGCACATTATATCGACTTTTAAATTGAATTATGAGTATACCTCTTTATGATCTTTTGCATATTTTTCAGTTTTAAATGCTACACTTAAATCTACTAGTATACAAGAATAACAAATTTTATATGTCTTTTTTCTTTCAGATTTTTGAAGTTCAGTGGAACCCTAAGCTTTTTTTACTAGTTCAAAAAGCTTGATTGAGACTATATAAACATGCGCAACATAGAGATATATGTTTTTTCCTATTGGAGGCTGTAGAAGGATATGACAATACCCCCCATACACAATCAAAATCAAAACAATAAAAAACAACAATAAAAAAAACAACAATAAAGTAACAAAACAAAAACAGCAAAAAAGAAAACCCCCACAAAAACAACAATACAATATACATGTACAGTACAATATTTCTTTATTTAGTCAAAATAACATATTATGTAAAACAGACAATTTACAAATGATATCATTATTAAACATATGTGGGCGTATTAAACAATTTGTATAGTACTAGACATGCAAAATATATTTCAAAAGCATCAATCAATAAGAACAACGTGTCAAATGCTATGAAAAATTGGACTAAATATCTTTCAGGAGGGGAACAGTGTAAAACCGGCCATTTTTGCATGCACACAAATGAGTTATAATTATTTAGAATAATTATACAATTCAATTTCCCACAACTAGTAATTTATATCTAGCAGTTCCATACTATAAAACTTGGAGACATCAGAATAAAGCTAAACAGTATCGATAAGTTCGTTATAATCTCAAATAACTGTATATATACAAAGACACGATTTACGCGCTTTTAAGTTATTTTGTGTTGCACGATTATTTTATAGTTATTATGTCAGTCATTAGTCGGTATGTAGCGTTGACCAATCAGAGTTAAGTATATCTGGCGAGTTGTGAAGACAAATTAAGATATTTAATTTTAATAAAAAGAAGAAAGCAACTTATTGTTTAACAAACATACAATGTACTTAAAGATTTCAAAGTAGCATAGTCGGTCATTATACTTGATTACATTTGGATGTTTATCAATAATATTCTGCGTGAAATTTGTCTCCAAGTGTTCGACACTCTTCGCAGATACGCTCGTTGTACAGGGTACTGTTATATCTAAGAAATTCTACCGGAAGTCGGTGATTAGCTGTACGAAATTTAAGAACCGATATGTTCATGTTTCTCGGTAATATTGTTAAATAGTCTTCTCTTTTACGTTCTTGTTTATACAAATAATATAGTTTTCCATTGTTTGAGGCCGGTAATTTTCCATTCCAATCTGTTATAAATTGATCTACCTGCACTTGCTTTATTAGTAAGTGGATATTTTTCATAGTTATATCTTCTTGGTTCAAGAATAGATAAGGGAAACCATGCAGTATTGTTTAAAATATCTTTTACTGAATTAAGCCATCTGTAAGACTCATCACTTTGAATTTTCATTATTTTGTAAATAATAATTATTTGAATATTTATTCGAATCATTTGTTATTAAAATATTCCAGAATCGTGTTATTTTCGTAGTAATATTAATTTGAAACGGGTAACGCCCCAGTTCCCCATATAAGCGGGGGTACTTTTCCTAGTATTTGTAATTTTTCTTAGAAAATCAAAATGAACCTTTTCTATGTCGTTGTTATTTTCTATACCCCATATTTCGCTTGAAAAGAAAACTGTGTTATCGAATAATTCAAATTGAAGATCTAAAGGTAGATTTAGGTTAAAAATACGTCTGTGTAACAAATGCATCGCGTTTTTGCCTTGGTAATAACATTGTCACGTGCTTTGTTAAATTTGCCAGTCTGACTAAAAAACAACTCCCAAATACTTATATTTTTCTGTTATCTCAATAGGTAGATTATTTACGTAAAATGTCAGGTTACGAGTACCTCGTTTATTCGAGCCGAAAACAATAACTTTCGGTTTCTCTGTATTAATTTGCAGTTTCCATTCTTTACAGTATGAGTAGCAATCATTTAAACATTTCTGAAAATCTTGAGAGTTTCGCACCAAAATAAACAACAACTACACAGTTTTACGTTAGACGATTCTTTTATATATATATATATATATATATATATATATATATATATATATATATATATATATATATATATATATATATATATATATATATATATATATATATATATATATTCACACATATCTTCACTTACGGGGCCCATATATAAGACCGAGTTGAGTGGCATTATTTCATGCAGTCAGTTTTTATATACGCCACTATATAGGCCTATAATGAACATTTCCATACAACAGAACTAAGGGGTACTAATTTATATATATAAACTATATATTTGATTTTACCATAGGTGAAAACATATTGACTAATAACATAAAACCCCATAATAAATATATACATTTGTGGGACATATATCATTTACTACTAAAACCGGCCTACGGGCACTATGTTAGAAGGGTAGCCTACGCCCCCATACATCGTTTTAAACATGCCAGAGTTGCGAGGCCTTATGTATGCCCCACATTAAATATACACCCCACAAGTATGGTCTCAAATAGACCGATGCCCCGTAAATGGAGGAATGTGTTTGTATATATATATATATATATATATATATATATATATATATATATATATATATATATATATATATATATTTAATATACGATACATTCACATATAAAATTGTTATTTTAACAAAAACCTGCATCCCTGGTTATCATAGTGGGTATATTATATGATTTTCAATATTTAAAAACCGATATTGTTACCATGTACTTTCATGCGTATTATAGTTTTAACACAACCCTAAAATTTCAAAAAATCGTACTTATTAACTTTTTAAGTACAACAAGCTATGTATGTAAAATAAATTGCTTAGTCATTTATTTTGAGAGGATTCAGTAATAAAAGACACTGACGTGTTCTGTACGTATAAATACTGACAGACAGATACTTGGAACATTTCCAACGAAGGGCGTTCTAATTTTAAATAAAAAAAGTAGGTTACCAAATTACTCACGCGATTTTACATTTAAATCATCTAACATAAAGGTAGAAATAAATTGAAATATGAAAAACAAGATCATCAAGGAAGGAGGAAGGGCGGCATTAAACGAACGCATCCCCTAACACAGGACCACGGGAAGGAGCCAGATGATATGTCAGACATGAGAGCAATACCAAAATTTCGACACTTTCAGTTTACAATTCGGCGGAGTGGTTTTGGTGGTAAAGGGACGCAACAAAATAGGACCATCATAAACCCCAACAAAGGGTATAGTAGATGAAAATACAACGCGAATCTCTAAGACGAAAAGTAAAAAAATCTATTTCCGCGTCGCTGACATTGACCAATGACATCAAAACATAACACAAGGCTAGATGTCAATGAAATCACTAAACAAATATCAGTCAATAACTGAAGAAAGTATATGTGAAAATGAATTGAATTTATTTTAACCAAGGCGATAGTGGTCCCATTTATTGGTGAAGATCATTCTTGTAAGCAAATTTTGTCCAGGTGTGTGTGACAGACAGATTTAGCGCGCCCCTGATCAGAATGTTCACCAAACCTTTTAGAATTGCACGTATAACCATGCTCTACACCACAAATCTTATCTAAAAGCATTGTAGTTTCTGACAATATTTTGAAAGTACTTTTCGCATATAAAATCATATGGCTTCTAAGGCTGGAAATTCCATTGCTCAGAAATATAAGAAATGAACAGGTATCAAGGTGGTTCAGAAAAGAGAAGACTTAAAAAAACCATATTTTGCAAGGTAGTCACAAAAACTCACTAGGTTAACCATCAATTTAGGTGCAGCAAATTCATTTTCATTTTATTAATATTGATCTTATTCGAAACGAATATGCTGATCAATCTGTTATTACCAACGCATGAACAGTCTAGAAAACAAATTTTGAAGTCTATTCTTGTGCTTCTGTCTGAGGCGAACGAATTCATTAATTTGTGATTCCATCAATGGAGATATTTTGTTCATTTCTTGTTGTATTTCTGTTTTATTCCTAGTGTGTTTCTCCACGACATAAATGTTTGTGGACTGAAGTAGAACTTCTGATTCATCTGGGATTTGAGAATATGGTCTAATATCAACACCAAGGGCATCTTCGATCAAAATAAATGTCTCACAACCAGTGTACATTTCTGCAACTTTGGGATTAGTTGTTGTGCTTGTTATTTGTCCGAAGATAAATTGCGGCAGAGTGAAATCCAGAGAATATGGGCATCCACGGTAAACAACTGAAACTTTCTGAAGCCCTAAAATCTCAAGCGCTTGATTGATCAGAATCCCAGCTTCACGCCATACTGAAGATTCCGGTCCATTTGTCCTGCCACTTCGTAATTCTTTGTTTACCTTAGTGAAGAAAACGCCAAGCATTTCCTTTTTAGATAGTGAGCACGACGGGTTCGAATACATGTTGATAAGCGTCCCAGCGTATTCCATATCACGGTTTCTCACTATTTCTCCATGTTCTCTCAAAGATATCATTTTACTTTTGCCGACTTCGATGCAATCTAGTATACCATCATATGCTTTTAGTCTTTCGAAATCACGAAAAAGGGAATCTACTCTGGCTTGAAATCCTTTAATAAAATGTGAAAGGTACTTAATTAAAATGAAATATCCATTTTTCGGGTTAATATGAGTATGACTTAATTCTCTTATGGCATTTTCTTTAATTAAACAACCACCAAAACAAATCTATAATAATAATAATAATAATAATAATAATAATAATAATAATAATAATAATAATAATCATCATCATCCTCATCAGTAAAATCGACAACCAAAAACAAAGTTATGTATAATACATTTATTTAAATCTAATTTTAATACAAGTAGCATGTAAACAATGCACGTAATTCACGCAGCTATACTTGTATAATCATAATAATATAGATTAAGAGAAGACCTTCGCGGGTTCAGTTACTACCTTTAAAGAGCAACAACTTGCAATTACCCACATATCATTTATTTTATTTTCTGTATCATCATTTCTGAATGTTTTAAAAAGGAAAACAAACCTTTTGAGCGACAAGTTGAAGAAACCATTATGACAATAAATACTGAAAATATCCACCTGACCATTATGCAGCTCTTTCTGTAACCCAAAGGGTTAAAATAATTTTGTGTTAAAATAATAGGTAAAATTTTCGAAAGAGTTATATTTTAAGGTAAATATTATAGTACGGTTATTTTGTGTGGTAATAATAATGGTAATATTAGATGTTTCTATAAATAATATCGCAAACGTTTCATAGTTTACTTATGATATAAAAGCGGAAATGATGACATACAAACTATATAGTACAAGTGTTAGTCATGGTATAATTTTGAACTAGTTGACTCATCCTGCTACTTTAAATACTACAGGTTGGTAAAATTCAAAAACAGCGTTTTAAATTATACAAAAAGAGCTCCACTGGGGTCCAGATTGGAAAAAACCCCAAATAATAATGTTCAACTGGAACACTCAAAGCGAAAAAAGAATAAATATGGATTAGATCACAAAGACTTAAATTGAAAATCGGTATTTAGGTGCGATTCTTAGTATTTTGGTACCAGCAACATCAGTTCACCATCATCATCGTGAGGGATCAATCATCATCTGTTTATATCATCATCATTATCATCATCATTAGTTTTCATTTTTAACATCATTCTTAGAAGCATCTTTATCGTCAATAGCAGCTTTAGGGTTGTCACTACAATAGAGTATGCTTGATGAATGCAAATAATAAGAATGGAAAGCTTTCAAAAAGTAAATCTTAAAATTTAGTTGCTTTGAGATTAAATACGATTTTAGATATTGGGTTTAAAAGGCTATTTAAATTGTTTTTAAAAGTCACGGTCATTTATGATATACGGGCGTTTTCAGAAAATAATATGTTTAAACAATTTATTTGTCAGAGTTGTTTTTGTTTACTTATACCTGCCTAGATCGAAAGCGAAATATTGTTCAGTCATTCTTAATAATAAATGGGGAGAGAATTCGACCTTGATAAAACAGGGCTGGATAACAGTGAATTTTAGCTTAACTGATATATGAGACGATAAAAAAGATACCGAAACTACTTTTTTATGTTTCAGTATATATTTCGATTTGCCTTATTTACTTCCTTGTTGACAATCGTAACACCTCGACAAATATTCATATTTGACGAAATCGGCCGAGAACATATCAGTCCGAGTTGTTACGATTAAGTTGTTTTGTGCTTTAAATGGCACAGGTCACCATGCAGTACTTTGTCGATGGCAACATTCCAATGGGGGTATTGGGTGGGGAAGGCCTCATAGTCAATCTTCTTCAAGAGGTCATTAGATTACTAGGATATCGAATACACCCAAAATGCTAAACAATTAACTTTCGTAATACTTTAAAATATTAATAATAACAACAAACTATTGTGATATGTCTTACCTAATTATTTATGCATTCTTTTGTATTTTCTGCTTTATAAGCAGTACATAGTATTTCTATTATTAAATTCTTCGTCACAGAATAACTTAAAAATAAAAAGGTAATTGCTCCAACGGAAAATTGCTCTTGTTTATAACGTGATATAAGAATGGCTTTAGAAATAAAATTAACATCGCCGAAACTTTTTAGACTGCTCTTAAAATAGGTTAAAGTCATATATGTATGCTAAATTTCCCCCCAAAATGTTATGAATCATTATTAGACTACGTGGGAACGTATTATATGTTTTTATTTATAATATAATTATTTTGTTAGCAACAAAAACAACAAATCACGGTATAAAAGGAAAATGCAGCGCTGAAGAAAAACAGTTTCTGCCACATTTTTTTCTGCATATTAGATGTTATTTTGACAAATTGCATGCTGCGTTATTAGATTTTAACTGGCATTCAACGGAAAATAATCATCTAAAACATTAAATTATTAAAATTTAACTATTACTTTTGCAGTTTTATTTTTGATATTTATTTAACGGATTCAAAACTTAAAAAATGGATGATACAAAATATTTTGATAAAGAGACGGAACCGCTTTCACGAGGAGGTGATGGCTTCAAAGTTTTGGATGAGAAACAGACGCCATTGGGAAAACTTGGTTTTGTAAATCCTTCCAAAGAAAATCATAAGGTACTTGCATTATTAAAATGTTATCTAAATTTTATTTAAGAAAAAAAACACACACACACACAATAATATCGTGTAGTGTGAAATAATTAGAGAGTCTGCAATGTAAGAATGTATTAGGAAAATAGTAAAAAATGACAATGAAAACCATTTTGACAACAACTTTTGAAATTTATTATCAAAATTATAATTACAAGCATAATTATGCCGAAAATATTTCCAGCACAAAAAAGAAATTAAAACTTTTTAATATAGCACATAGTCAACCTGCAAAATAATAATAATAATAATAATTATTATTATGATTATAAAATAATAAATAATAATAAATGAAATCAATATATATAAAAATTATAAAAAGCATTTTGAACAAATCAAATTAAAAAAAAAACTATGTAGAACATTTATTTTAAAGTAAACTGAAAATATTTTTTTGAAATGGGGCGTTAGATAAATTTATATTTGTAGATAAATATGTACAATAACATAATTATGTTTTATTTATTTCAGACTTTTTCGGTATTGAAGAGGTGTCTCAAATATGTTTGTTTCGGGGTTGTTGTACTTGCATTTATAGTTCTACTTCAAAGAGTCAAGTAAGTTCTTTTGTACGTCGATAATTTGTAAAGAACACGTGTCCATATTTTCACCGTTTCATATAATTAACAAACTATACTACATATATGTGGATTTCAAAAACCTAAATCACGATGTTGTTTAAATGCCTATATGGTAGTGACCGAAAAAAGTTGTTATTCAGTAGACATGAATATCAAAATTTTCCAAAATATTGAGAAGATTTTAGCGATAAATCAGCACATGCTTTAACGAAATTTCAACCTACACCAAACTTTAACTTACAATATTGTATAAACTATCATATTTTAATTTTCGTATTCAAAGATATTTTCAAGATTAATATATGTTTGTGTGATCTTTGACCACATGATATGAAACATTACTCTTTCTATAACCCCTTTTCCAGTTTTTTTCTTCTTCAAACTTTGCCCAATCCCACCAGATCTCGAAGTGTGCCATAAAATTGACTACTCCATATGAATACAGATAGGTCAGCTTGTGCCTCCTTCATTGCTGAGAATGCTCCTTATGGTAGTATTTTGTTGTTGAATTCTCATAAATCACTAATGGAAACTTTCAAATTAGAATAGAAACAGTAGCTAACACAATTTAATCAGTATGATAATAAATTTGAACCACGTGAATGCATCATACATTGTGCAGTAAACTTGAAAGCAAAATCGAGGTTGACAGACATGAACATCACAGCTCCGTTTCAGACAAGCATACGTCTGAAACACTAAGAAGTCCACTCAAAAGCTTATTTATGCTTACCAATGACAGCGGGATTGGAGAGAAAGTCACCAAGTTGATGACGGAGAAGTCGCCTGTACCAAATAGCGACATAAAGGAAGACACTAATTCAAGTCAGAAAGCAAGTTCTGATGCAAGCAGGTCAAAGAAAGTGCAAGAAAATGACATGGTGATAGGAAAACACTATTTTAACATAGGTAAAATAAAACATCTGTACATGTAATTTGTTAATTTCTTGTTCTAGTTCATGCTTTGTCTAAGTTTCAATTGAGTCTTTAAAACGTAATAATTGTTACATAAAGTTCTTTGCATGTATTAAATGTAGTTCAATTTGATGAATTCCTTTTAAACTCCATTTAAGGAACTCTTTGCATTAGTAGAGATTTAGACCTTGTCGTAAAACATATTCTATTCATTTATTTAAAAACCGTATCAGTTTGGAAAATAATTCATTTCTAATTTACCAATCGGCAAGGTTACTTTGCCTTGTCAGTGTGGCTTGGTCAGGTCGGTGTCTGCATTCTGTGAACGTCGCCTTGCCCGCCTCGATGATCTTTCTTCTCCTTTTTAAGATTATTTTTGATTAGTATTTCTTGATTTAAAGTGATTCAAGTGTAACATGAACAAAGACACCAACTAAATACAAATGTACACAGAAATGACAATATAATTATTATTAACACCTTCGACATCGTCGGAGATTTACGACGTTTGATAAGGCACTTTTAAATGTGCGTAACATGCCAATAGAATTGAAGTATTCAATACCAATTTGAATTTTATCTAGAATTCTACAGGTAGTTTAGTATGACGAGTTACTATTAAAAGCAAATTCATTCATAATGTTTTGTTTTTTTTTGTTTTTTTTTTGGGGGGGGGGGGGGGGTAAAAATATAACCACCTTACAGTTTCATCTTAGTATTCTATATTTTATGGTCCTTCAATTCGATAGATTTCAAAAACTTCTCCGAATAGTACATTAACGTGGTTTGTTAGTTTGTCAATATTTTATCTTATTAGGTATGAGAGAGGACGTCATGTTGCAGGATTGCTATCACTCACACATGAAGCATTCTTTCCCCGACATTGATTATGCTTTCCTTGGTTACGATTTATTTCGGGGATATCCACTAGCCCATGGTCATGATCCTGGTTTTATGTTTCCTATCTTTCATGCTGACTATACACACGGGAAACAGACTGCTGATTGCAGGTACAGCGTTCCTAAAGGTCTTGTCATAGTGCCAGACGTATCTTGTGTTACGTCCTTCACCTCTGAGATTATAGAGAACAGCAAGCAATTAAATCAGGAGTTGTCTGTACATGCTGACGCCGGTGGCGTCGGATTTGGAGTCGAATTCTTGGCAAGTGTTGGATATCGACAGGCATCTTCTGATTTGTCGACTCATAAATCAGTTTACATAATATCCTCAGCACGTTGCAATTACTATTTCAGCAAGTTTCAGGCAGAAAATCCCCCGCCCTTTACAGATATCTTCGTTAATTGGATAGAAAAACTGAACACTACATCAAGTAATTCAACATATCTCGACTTCTTTCATTCCTTTGGCACACACTTTCCTAAAGAAATAATATTCGGTGCAAGGTATATTTACGAACACAAAATGAAAAGTTCGTTATATGAAAAGAAACGAAACAATGGTGTAAATGTTAAAGAACAAGCAAGTAACAGTGGGCTAATCCGCGTTAGCGGTGGCGTTGGTCTTTCAAAAGAACAGAAAGAAAAAGCTTCCGAGTTCTCAAACTCTGTTGAAACAATCACAATTACTGTAGGGGCAGCTCCGCCAAGTAATGGGGATGCAATGACATGGGCTGCTTCTGTCCAAAGCAACCCAGTACCGTCAAAATATAAACAGGAGCCAATTGAAAATCTGTTTAGTGAAGAGTACATGGGCACGCTTGGTGTTGACTACGAGGCTATATCAGTCAACCTAAAGGCATTGAAGGAAAAATATTACGAAAGTCTTGCGTCTGAAGATCTATATAACCAAATAAACGATATGTCCAGTAAGTCTAGAATATATATGAAGATTAATATTTCTCTACCGTACTCAGCGTGTCGAAAAGTTCAAACAAGTTCACAATAAGCACACACGTGTCATTTTCAACATCAACAGTATCAGTATGTTCCATCAAAATAAAGATGTAAACATCCATTAAACAAGTTATTCATAAATTGGTTTATTGGTATAACAAGGTAGTGCTGACCAAATGGTAATCTACAACTTTTGAGATATAATCTAAGATAATTTAAACAATGTTCCCAGTGAAATATTCATTTAATACGTTGTACATTATTGTACGTTGTGTTTGCATGTCACTATTCGAGTTATTTAAAAACCTTTTCTCTTACTTATAAATATTTATCTGTGTTATCTTTTAGCTATTTATCATAACAGAACATTCTACTTGCAGACGAACGTCTTACTAAAATACTAACTGTTGAAAATGGTGGACAGTATGGCTCTTGGGGCTAACACCCCCAGTTTTGGGTCCAGTTGGGAAACGGTTTTGAACAGGGTTTTAACAATGAATGGTTTAAAGTTTTTCATTGACTGTCTTAAAATCTGTGTGATCAAAAGAATTCTGAAACCAAATATTAACTTTAAAAAGGGTAATAACGCTATAATCTCATGAAATATATTTAAAAAACATTTAATAACGCGACAGCATACTCTCCGTATGTGCTTATTGTGTTTGGTCCCCTTTTTGACTGAGAGGGAAGAAATACGTGTATACATTAAACACACGATAATTTATTTTATTAAAATTAAGCCCGGCGGCAATGGCCGAGTGGTTTACCGGATTCGGAGTTAAATAATTAAAGATCGCTTAGTCCCGAATGGATTAAACACTTGAAACTGACAGGGGCAGGTCGTTGTTTCATTGAGCAAGAAACTTTACATTGCTCAATACTGGTTGGTTCCAGGAACGCATTCGAAAGTGTGTCTATAAGCTAATAGATTCCTACACAATCGAACTAAAATAAATTCTGTATTATAAACCAAATTTATTAAAAGTAGGACTATATGTTTCCATAATCTTATGGTAAATACTCTAAAAGAGTTGTACATAACATGTATAATGTCTCTGATATTTAACACTCATAAATATTGTACGTAAACAGAATAAAATTTTCTGAACCAAATTTAAATTCTGCTCTTCTAAATAGGGTTTTAAACGTTTAGCAATGATTTTGTGCGTGTGACATTCGCTTTTAAGGCAATGCACCGTCACATTTCTTTCATTCACGCGTTGTTTTTAGCTATTAATATACGGTATATCCACTACTGTTTGCTGCACTGCCCATATGGATATTTCTTTCATTAACAAGATATAAAAAATATGTGGTAAGGGGTGTGGACGCTAGCTTGGAATTACACTACCGTCCATGAACAGGCTTTATTAAAAACCGAGCATGCAGCATTTTCAATTTGCCGATTACGTTTTTCTCTATTTTAGAATTGTTGCTTATCTCAAACACGTATATACCATAATTATATTTACCAGTATGCCTTCATTAGCATTATTTACACATGATATTTATCTATTTACCATGTTCAAGTATGACGACAATGATGCAAAGGAAGCAGATAGAACTGGATTAAATGTCGTTAACATTGCATGTGCAAACAGGAAAGGTACACGAGTAAAGAATCAAAGATCTGTTCAGTCTCCCTTGGGTGGTGGTGGTCACTGGACTGGAGATGTGATATGTCCACGAAGTAATGGCATTCCCCTGTTCTTGCAAAAGTTTCGAGTTAATGGTCCATGAGCCAGTAAGTGCATTGCCCTCTTTTTTGCAAGTACTAGACACATGATATTTTGGGACACATGCATTTGCAGTTTTTCATGGTTTACTCGTCAAGCTATGTTTATTCTTTGAGAGCATAACACATATATTTTAAAATCAGTACTACTTAGAAGTCGAAACAGGCTCACCAAGTCAATACTGCAATTATCATCGTTTTGATTTTGTTATCATCGCCGTCAGCCCCTTATTATACTTACTTAAGCAATCTCACAAGAACAATGATTAAAACTGCAAAAACGCAAAACTGGATTTTGACTACTGTTAACCAATTGATATAGATTAAATTATTATAATTTTTAATTTAAGAAACAGTCAGAAGACGACACTAAGGCAAATGTTGTTCGTTTTACGTGTCGTGATTCACACTGGAAGCAGCAGCCGAAAAACATCGAAAAACATATTGCTGGTGCAAAAGGTCAGTTCGGAAAATCGAGTGAAAAGTGTCCAAAGGATTCCGCAATCTGTGGGCTACAATCTCGTGTGGAGGGTCATATACATCATGGAGACAACACCGCTTTGAATGATGTCCGCTTTTTCTGTTGCAGATTTAAGTAATGGTCGTCTGCCAAAAATTACACCGATAGATTTACTTTATATTACATTCGAAACATTTGAAACAATTGTGTACAAAATGTAAAACTATATTTTATAACTGTGTTGCTCAATTCTCATTAACTGCTATAACCATAGTAGCTGTTTATAATAAACATATACATATATTGATGTTGCATATCATTATATGTAACACCCCATTATGAAACACCAAACTTTGCAATTTTTTTTTTGACGTTTATAATGTTATGTTTATACAGGTGCTTCAATTTTCATCAAATTGTACATGTATTACGGCCGTGTATAAAAGATTGTTTGCTCGAGTTATGAAAGCAGCAACTATTTATAGCCAGAAAACGCTATAAATATATGATATATACCGTATTTTATACATATATTTAATTGAATCATGAATCAATCACATTGTTATAAATACTGCTTTATTGCTACGGTCATTGTTTCAATGCTTTCTTCGTTTATGTGTATAATTCTTTATTTGGTTTTATCTTAAGTTTGTAATCTTTACAGGGAATACTGTTTATAACATTATTGTTTTGTGAAATATAAATACACATTATACGGAACTTTTATGTAATTGCCAATCGTAAATTTAAAAGCAACTCGGTTTTACTTTTTTTCTGGAACAGAGCAACAGGAAATTAGTACCGGACTACATTTCTACGAATCAGGCGCAAGTTCAGCAATTTTACCGTGTTAATTCTTGTTTAAAGGTATATGTTTGTCCGTAAAAAAGGTGTAAATAAAAGAAATATATGCCATTAACTTGTGTTAGATTTTTACTGTTTTTTTTATTGGCCTTTCAAAACGCAGCTAGCATTCAAATCAAATGTTGATGGATGTCCTCATTTATTTAATACATTATTCATTAGTATTACTTCTATGTGACTTAAGTGTTGCAATAATAAAATGAGATATAAAATTCGACAGCGCAAATTGTTTTCTTGAAAGCCCATTATGCCCCAAATTTTTCTAAAAACATTTTATCATTGGTGTCCTGTTTTGGTTTCCAGAAAGTTACTTATCGGCCAATTTTGTTATTTTTTTGGTTCTGGTGCCTTTAAAAAAATAGTATACAATTGTAGTGAGTTAATATTTTGTATGGAAGTCAAAATACTACAGTTGAGTTCACACTAAACTTCCCACCCTTGTGCACTTCTAGTGCACTAGAGCTGAACTAGAAGTGCACTAGAAGTGCACTTCTAGTGCACTAGACCATATGACCAGGCTGGCCAGGGAAGGTGACACCTAAATGGTTTATTGGATAATTGTAATTGTATATCAAGTGGGGGGGGGGGCATCCATTGTTACGCTGCTGTATGAAAAAAAAAATAGGAAAATATATATATGGCCTATTCATGAATATAAATAAGTAAATTTTAAAATCAGCAGTTTTAACATTTTAGGTGATAATCATGTTGAAGCTTAAAATTAAAATGTTTTTTTTTCCATTTATTGTAAACCAGTATTTAACTGTAATTGAAAAATAATACCCCTTAAAATCAAATTTATAAAATTAATAAGGTTAAATTTAAACTAGAAATGTGTCCATAGGACACGGATGCCCCCACACGCCACTGTTCTGTCAATCTTATCACTCTAGGTCAAATATTTTTTGGACTACATGTGCCACAAGTTGAAAACTAAAAATCAACAAAGGGCCATAATTCTGTTAAATTTGGTCGCAGCAAAAATTCCTTCCTTTACTACCATCTACACATTAAGGTTGTTAATCCCTGGAAGTTTAAGCAAAATCTGCCATCCGGTTTAAGAGGAGTTGCGTTCACAAAATTTCTACATAGTATATAATGAAAAAATCAAAAAAGGGCCATAATTCTGTTAAATTTGGTTGCAGCAAAAATTCCTTTCTTTACTACCATCTACACATTAAGGTTGTTCATCACTGGAAGTTTAAGCAAAATCTGCCATCTGGTTTAAGAGGAGTTGCATTCACAAAATTTCTACATAGTATATAGTGAAAAAATCAACAAAGGGCCATAATTCTGTAAAATTAGGTCGCAGCAAAAATTCCTTCCTTTACTACCATCTACACATTAAGGTTGTTCATCCCTGTAAGTTTAAGCAAAATCTGCCATCCAGTTTAAGAGGAGTTGCATTCACAAAATTGCTACATAGTATATAGTGAAAAAATCAACAAAGGGCAATAATTCTGTTAAATTTGGTCGCAGCGAAAATTCCTTCCTTTACTACCATCTACACATTAAGGTTGTTCATCCCTGTAAGTTTAAGCAAAATCTGCCATCCGGTTTAAGAGGAGTTGCATTCACAAAATTGCTACATAGTATCTAGTGAAAAAATCAACAAAGGGCCATAATTCTGTTAAATTTGGTCGCAGCGAAAATTCCTTCCTTTACTACCATCTACACATTAAGGTTGTTCATCCCTATAAGTTTAAGCAAAATCTGCCATCCGGTTTAAGAGGAGTTGCGTTCACAAGATTTCTGGACGTACGGACGGACGGACGGACAAGTGCAACGCTATATGCTCCCACATTGTGGGGGCATAATTATGCTCCGTAATGGATAATGAAATAAGTGTTTTTAAAGCTTTTTTTAATGGCCATATATTTCAATTTTTCTAGTGTACAAATAATATAAATCAATGTGATAATTCTGGCCCAATTAATTTAGTTTGTTACATCATAAACTTTTTTTCATAAGCTCAAACAAATCAAGGAAAGGTTATATTTAAGCTAAAATATTATTTCTATAATATATAACTTAGAGACAATTCATCATGTTCAATATTGAAAGAGAATATTAATACATTGATTTTAAAACAATCAATATACTGTGATAATTTAGTATTCAACTGTGTAATCCTTGCATATGTTTATGCAAATAATTTAAATATTATCCATAAAATAAATAAATTTGATATCTTTATTCATTATTTCAATATTAAAAATTTAATGTATAAAGGGAATACTTTTATTGAAGAGGAAAATCTCAAGTCGTGCTGTGTATTGGTATTTTCTGAGAGGGACAGTTTTCAATATACCACTCTCCTGCTGATAAGAGGGCCTCAGGGTAAATAACAAAGATAGGTCAATTTTGCAGATTTATAAGAATGCATTGAAATTCTCTGGTTTTCGCAAAATGCATGTTAGACATAAGCCTGGGATTCATCAGGCGTTGGCGCTCAGTAAATGACCATAATTTTTGTATAATCAAATATACAAAAAAAACAACATAAAGGCATAAATGCATAATAGATATTATCAGAGACATAGATAGATGTTATCTATGTCTCTGATATTATTGTCTCTAAAGCGGAATTTTCTATATGTATCCATTTATCCACATTTCTTGCCATTCTGCATAATAATATCACGGATTTATATTACTATATACTATTAATATAAATCTGTGATAATATATAACTTAAGAGGCAATTCCTCATGTTCAAGATTGAAAGAGAATATTAATTCATTGATTTTAAAACATTTTATACACTGTGATATTATGTTTTTCAACCATAAAATGCTTGCATACTTTTTAAAGATATACATAATTAAAATTTTTCCATAAAATAAATAAACTTGATAACTTTATTCAAGATTTCTACATTAAAAATGAAATGTATAAAGGGAATGTTTTTATACAAGAGGAAAGATTCGAGTCATGCTGTGTATTGGCGACTGTTTTCATTACACTGGTCTCCTGCTGATAAGAGGGCCTCAGGGTAAATAACAAAAATGCAAATGTATGCAATATTTATTGAAAATTTCCCTTTTCCCCCCAAAATACATGTAAGTCATCGATAAATGACTATACTTTTTGTATAATCAAATGTAAAAAATAATCTTAATGTCATAAACGCATGTTAGATATTATTGTCATTTATTGTCTTTGGAGTGGAATTTTCTAATCTTATTATAAAAAACTGGTTTAAAAGTTAACTATTCTACAAAGACTTTGTATCAATATTTTTTCACATTTCTTGCAATTCTGCATTAAAATTTGCAGCATCTTAATTCTTTTAGTTTTTGAACTGGGAAATGTTATTTTTTTCTATTATAGATTTGACAAATTTGCCTTGTCAGTTTTTACGCATTTAGAAGATAATATATTTTAAAGAAAATATTATTTAAATACATGATTATAAAACTTTTGCAACTTCCTTTTCACTTTAATGCAGATCTGTTTTTTATTTGTTTGTTTTTTCTGTTTTTTTTTTATATTTTTTTTTTATTTTAATTTAATATCATACATGAGAAGAAAACAGTTACAGGAGATTAAAGTGTCAAAAGTCATGCTGTGTATAGCTGTTTTGATATAGTACCCTGCTGATAAAAGAGCCCCTCAGGGTAAATAACATATGCCAGATTACTAAGGCGATGTAAATTCTGTATTCTCTGGATGTTGGTGCAAATAAATTTCATTACAAATAGTACAAAAAGAAAAATGAATATTTTTGCAATTGATAATAAACTCATCAAATTAATCATATTGCATAATAATGTTACAATGCATGAAAAAAAAGGAAAAAAGATTGGTGTCGTCTCAAAAAATGGAATTGACAGATTTTCTAATCTTTTTGTTAATATCCATGTCAGTTTAAGTATACTAGTATCCCGCAGGTACATATCAATACTTAATCCACACATATCAATACATACCACCATTATATATAAATATTTATTTTCAGAATAATATATATCATTTATATATCATTTATATTAATCTTAAGTTAATCTCAGTTTGAGAAGGTAAGATAGATTATAAATGAAATAAAATTGACAAAATTTAGGCCAATCATAAACATATTAATTCTTTAATGTATTAAAGGCTATTAATGCTTAAAATCATTACCTTTAACTAAAACAACCATAAGTTAAGATTAAAAATAACTAATACTACGGTATAATTCCCCCCCCCCCCCAAAAAAAAAGAACTGATTTAATTTTGTTTGATTAGCATTTCAATGTTTCATATTTCATTACCAGATTATAATAAAATAGAATCATATTAAATATCAATTAAGTTTGTTTATTTATGCAGTTATCAACATTAAAGTTATAATTATTTATATTTAAATTACTTATTCTAACAATTAAATTTTAAAGTACAAAATCAATAAAATTAATGACTTTGAAATTTATTGTTCTAATATTTTACGCCATATTTTACAAATTCCAATATTCACAACTTCAAATTTTTATTGAAAAAATATTAAACAGATATCTATATTTTCTATCTTTTTGTAAAAGTCAAATTGCTATTCAGTGAAATAAAAGGCAACTGCTTAATACATATAATAGGTCTGGTGCACTACAAAGTGCACTTATGAAGTGCACTAGTAGTGCACTACTAGTGCACTAGTAGTGCACATCTAGTGTACTCCTAGTGCACTTTGTGTAACCTTTAGTGTGAACTCAACTGTACTTTGTTAACATTTTACTACTTTTGTGAATAATAATTCCACATTCAGAAGTCCTTCCTTCTTGGTTATTAGAACGAGGTATGTCGGCGGGCGGGTGGACGAGCGTTCTTCTGTGAGCTACTCCTCCTACATTTCTAAAGGGATTTTGATAAAACTTTCACAGATGCTGTCTCATCAAGTGCTCTGGCGCATACTGTCAGGGTTTTGTGATTTGGTAATATTTGACCTAATTATGGCCCTTTGTTTTTTTATGTAGCATATCTAGTGAATGATTTCTTCTGTGCGCAACTCCTCCTATATTTCTTAAGGAAGTTTGACCAAACTTTCACAGAAACTTGGGCATATAATTGGGGTT